TGTTTGGGAAGACTTTAAATTTTAACAATTGTTTTTATACTGTATAATTTAAGTAATCATTTTATACTATCGGGTGTCCCAACGTAAACCAACTGCTTTTAATTAAAATTAAAAATATTAACAATTATATTATACTAACAAAATCTATACCAAAATGTTGGAAACTTATTAGAATTTCATGCTGCATTTATAAAATATCCATAAATTAACTACCCTGGTTATAATTATAGTTTTACTGCATGCATGTCTGTTTTTTATTCATAAAAAATCGCCAATTTCTTGCAGCATAAGCATTGATTCAATTGATGCGAGCATTCAGTGACAGTTGTATTCCTATGGTATTACGTAAAATAGACATGCATGCAGTAAAACTAAAATTATAACCAGGGTAGGTAATTTATGGATATTTTATAAATGCAGCATGAAATTCTAACAAATTTCCAACATTTTGGTATAGATTTTGTTAGTATAATGTACTTGTTAATTGTAAATATTTTTAATTTTAATTAAAAGTAATTGGTTTGGTTTGGGACACCCGATATATAATGTTAGTCACTGTTGATATGATGGACACATTGTTTTTGTGTAATCAACAAATGTGATCCAAAAACTCGTAAGAATTAAATACATTTATAACAAATCAGACTAACATTAATCAATTGTTAACGAATTAGATTGCAATGAATTGAATGCAATTCACTGAATAAAACTGATAAGAAAGCAAACATTGAGAGAATAAATATCACAAAAAGTTACTAAACTTTTTATTCAATCATTCATTACATTTAAGTTATATTGTGTTGACTTTGGACAAAATATAAGGTCTAATAATAAGTTAGAAAAACAGAAGTATATATTGAAAATGTCATTCAAAATTAATAATGAATTCAAGTGTGAATAATTACATCAAAGAACAGTTTAATTGAATTACGAAATAAGTTAAACAAAATTAATGCTATTTATAAAGTAATGATTTGGTTGTAGTAATGAAATGGTTGTCACGATTGACATGATATCGACGAGAATCGATAGCAAATACTGCGGCAATTGATTGGAAACTCAGTACTAGAATAGAGTTGATTATAATATCTCTAATGTCTTAGAGAACATAAACTCATCGATTATTTACAGTTTAATGGTTGAGGCCTTTCGGAGACATAAGAATTGAACCAATGGTCAGCAGATCATCGCTTGTCCTTCAGAACAATTGAGTAATGGTTTTAAAACTAAGCAATAAGTGAGACAATTATCTCATGAGTGTCATAGCCATCGCATTCACTAATTTCAAGTCATATTCATAACTAAATCAATAAGTTATGAGCCGTTCATACATTGTCTAAACATATGCTCACATAAAAGGAAAGTATTTTTTGTTCAAAGAATAGTAGTCTTAATACTAAACTAAGGATACGACGACTCGTCCACCGCTTCACGACATTTAGTCTTTGTGCTGATCGGCTGAATGAGATGGAGAGGCAGGCAATGAGAGACCGCTGGTCATCGACGCCGGGGTTACTAATTGTTGTTTCGATAAAAAGCTGAACATCTGTTCCTGCATTCGCATCAAGTGCTGCAGAAATGCTTTCTCCCGGCGCTCGTCCCTCTCGTTCTCCTCCTTCCTTCGGGACACCTCTTGAGTGAGTCGTTCCCTCTCTAATCCAACCCATTCTCGCATCACTTCCGTCTCTTTAGACAAATGAGCAAACATTCGGTCAATCAGTAGAGCAGAGGACGAGTTCTCGAATAGTGAAGACATTGTTTGGTATTGAGATTGACTGCCAGAACCTTCCGTTCGACATCTCTTTGGCGGCGGAATCATTGGTATATCTGTCGGAAAAGACAACAATTCANATCAGTAGAGCAGAGGACGAGTTCTCGAATAGTGAAGACATTGTTTGGTATTGAGATTGACTGCCAGAACCTTCCGTTCGACATCTCTTTGGCGGCGGAATCATTGGTATATCTGTCGGAAAAGACAACAATTCACCATCACTTGCGTCCAAATAGACATGCATTCAATCATACCATCGTTTGGAATAGTAATCGGACAGTCGTTTGAATCCTCTGTTGTTTGAGACACGAATACAAACATTAGTTTTCATTCAATAAGTGTTTGTCGAGAATAAGAATCATTAAATGATAGCTATTCTGATACTGTCGCAGAATATCACACAATAATTCTTACCATTGTTTGAGTCCATAGTATTGTTGCCATTAGTGTTGACCACATTGTTATTAAGAGTAGCCGATGGCGACAATGAATAGGCGAAGATCTCACTCTTATCCTCATTGTCTGTTCCACTGTTGTCTCCGCCGTCGTTGTCATTGGNATTGTTAATATTTTTAATTTTAATTAAAAGCAGTTGGTTTACGTTGGGACACCCGATAGTATAAAATGATTACTTAAATTATACAGTATAAAAACAATTGTTAAAATTTAAAGTCTTCCCAAACATTATTCAGTATAATTGATTACTCAGTATATTATATAAAAATGTTTATATTTAGAATAATTAAATGATATATTAAATATATTAATGACTGAATTTCTATTACCATATGATATGATTTGAAAATTTAAATTAAACGATTCTTTGTTTGCTACTAACAAGGTGGAATATATTTTGAATGTCATTTCATTCATGTGTTTAAGAGAATCCTGGGTTTGAGTGTTGGATTAAGCAATGTTTGCAAAGTCTCTTAACATAACGATACGATTCAATGGTTATGTGATCACAATTTGTAATGTTTAGGAGTATTAGTTGTCTGCAATTGTAAGCGATGGCCATAATTCCGGTGTCCGAAACAGATGCACATTCTTTGACTGATATTTTGCGTAAATTGGGACACTTTTCTGATAAAACTCTTAGACCTAGAATTATAATTAACGCCAATTAGTGACATTTAGGTTATAAATAGTAATTTGAAAACTAGTTTAAGCAAAATGAATACCTTTGTCAGTAATGTGACATTTACCCAAATCTATAGCTTTCAATCGCGGGCCACAACTACGCGCCAATACTACCACTCCTAAAGTGATTGAAAAGATTGAAATACAAACAAACTTTGTGCGTGTGATGTCTTACCCGCATCCGACACTGTCTCACAGCCCCTAACGTTTAAATAACGCAATTTAGGACAATGTCTAGCGATTTGTTTGAGTCCTGAATCACTTATTTGGTGACATTTAGCTAAACTTAAA